CAAGATATTCTGTCTATTCTCCCCCTCCCCTTCCTTCACTCACTCATTCACTCACTCACTCTCAGTTGATCTCTCATTATTCTCCCCTTATTCTCTGTCTTTTATTGGTCTCCCTCCCTCCCTAATTCCCTCTCTCCTTTTCAAATTCCAAGCCATATGGTCCATCAGTGTAATCCTCTACCCAGATATTTGATTATCAAAGCTGTCTGGCTGAAAAAAAGCTCAACTCTCCACCGGCCACTATTGAGTCCATTCCCCTACACTCAGTAAATTGTAATTCAGAGAGAGTGACTGGCTCTGAATTAGAATAAAAGCATTCATATTCTACAGTGACCTCATCTGCACCACAATGCATCAGTAGAGTGAGATACACTTGGACATACAGATGAAGAGACATTTGAATAAGGACACAAAAATCAAATAATCCTTCATTTCTAGACTTCATTTCCATGTAGCCGTGGTAAAGGGACACCACTTTTATTCTTGATGTTTATTTTAAAGAGAACAAAGGGATGTTTGAGGTTCACATACGTTAACATAATGACTAACTTCTATAATACATGAATCATCCTTGATTTTGTCAGCTATTTTAACATGTAGCATCTCTGAAATAAATTCAAAGCTACCACACTGTTTTACCACACCCAGTCAGAAGGATGGCCTTCACACAGTTTCCCTCAAGCTTTGAACTGGATTACCATCCACGTTACCTTGAAGAAATCTGATTAGCCGTCTTTGGCTTTCACCACATAAATACATACTGCACAGAGCACACTCATAAATACCCTATATCCACATGCTTTACTGCATTCATGTACCTATATGTTTCACTCTCCTACTGGAAGGGGATCAAATTTATACCATTAATTGGCTTCCATTGCGTTGTGTGAGGCCTTAAAGTTAATTATCTCATAATACATGCCAGGCTCATGCATGGAGAATAATGATTTATTTTGACTCGTGAAAGGAGAGAAGCCAGGATTTGACAGCAAGACAGTCCCATGCCTGACTGCACTGTATGGGTTTGTATAGGGGGTGTAATTGGAGCGTATTCCACTCTTTATTGCATGTTTACTGTACCATATTTGCACCCAACATTTCGAAAAACTCTATTAAATAAACTAATACTGTCTTTTTGTACTTTTTGGACTGGCACAAAGAATGATGATATTATAATTGTGTGTTGCAGCTTTTGCAGTTGACATTGTACTAACTGCCTGACATGCCCGAGTACATAAGCCAGGAAGAAATAACAGTTTTAACCACGATGTAATTGGGAAAATAAATAAGTATATAAACATAATTTCTAGGAGACAAGGTTGCAATATAATAATATACGAGATTTTAATAAAATGTCCCTCTAAGTAAGGTAAACATAAATTCCCCAGCAATTTTATACTCAAATTATTACAATACCTGGTGCGTCTTCTGCTTTCCAATGAATTAAAAGTGTATTAATAATAGTGCAATATGCTGAAAGAACAAGAGTCAATATAGTTTCTGTAGGATGTATTTTTCTTAATAAAAAATGTATGACGGAGACTTTACTGAAGCAAAGCATGTGGCACTGATAGCGCATGTTCATTCATTTTGTGATTTACAAAACATTTACACAAGTAAAATGAAATTTGTCAAATGTAGCTCAGTTGGTAATAGATAGGACTGTAAGGTTATTTGTTCAAGCCTTGCTTCCAGCTGCCTTTTCTCAAAGGCCAATAACTAGCTCTGTGTAACTTTCAGTATAGCAACAAAAAAAACAAAAAAGTCAATAAAGTGAGCCTTTTCCAGCAAGTAAATGGGTGTGTTTTCCAAAGGCCAATATCAATATTGACAGTGGGGGGACGTCCTGTGGCCCGGACCTGCAGCTTCCACAGCAGGCTGGTTTTCCAACAGTCCCTGCTTTGTGTTCCTACCCACTGCGCCCGCCGCCACACTACAGCGTCTCCATAGGACTTGTATGTATAGTTCCATTTTATCTCACTATAAATTCTGAGCAGTATTCAGTCAGAAACTGGAATTTGATCTTCTTCTGTTTTGCATTTAAGATTTAGGACATGTTGAGTCAGTGTGAAAGAATACGCCTCAGATTTGATTCTTTGCGTGAAATGTAGCGTGTATGTATAAATATAAATATTAGCCTGCTGCTTTATATGAGAATGAGACCTATGGGGCTCACCTAACTAGATGGAATACGTTTTCTGTTTTCTATCATTATTCTGCAGATTTCTGAGTTCCTCTGTTGATGAACATGCTGTTGAGGGTCTGTCTCATTGCAGCTCTACTAATATGCTGTAAGTAGCCTACTGCATGCAAAATGTACACTACATTTTAACATAACATACACATATATGCATATATAGGGTATGCCTGGAGTATTTATCCACAATAACTGTATCAAGTTGCCCACCAACAAACACAAACACAGAGATACTGTACATGCACACCACACAACCACGTGCTATAATCATGCATGTGTAGGCACACTCACATACACAGCAATTTACCATTCCAGTGTACACTAATAAGATTCCTATTATAGAAACAATAAATGGTGTATAAATATCTGCCTGCCCCTGGAGATTACCATGAACTGAGCTCTATTAGCAGGCTGTAAACTCCTGTAAACATCAACCTTGGGGGTTCAGGCCTATTGCTGGAGTGTCGGCGCAAGTGGATGAGACATTTAAAGCATGATTGAATGCTTAATGCAACATTACATAATTGCATATAACTGCAAAGCTTAAGGCACACTCTGACTCTGAAGGACTATTGAGCTACATGAAAATGAGACAACCATCTTGTCACAGAGATAAAATGATTCATGCCCCACAGTGGACACAACTCTCACTCTCAGAAATCTGTATGTCAGAAACCATACCAGTTGTATGCTGTGTGAACCAGTCAATCACACAGCTAATATTTGTCTGCATTATTCTATTCTGGTTAACTGGAGACTGAATATCATTCTTTCTATTACTTAAGAGATTAACTTCATCCATGTGTATTGTATCCCACCACAGACAGACAGTAAAAGCATGAAACAATGCAGCTGCCATATTCCCTCTTTGAGCAGCAAGTGATTTTCCACTCCCTGTCACTAACCATCCCCAAATTCTTATTTTGTGTCTTCTGTGTATAAACTCAAACAATGCTTAAACTCACTTCTTTTTTTTTTTAAACTATTCAAAGTTTTCTAAAGAAACATAGAAATCCAAGCTCTGACAGACACTTTAAAGAACATGCTCAAAGTAATTATAAAACTTTAAAAAATCTTTATGTCCTTAAAATTAGGTATGAGACATAATAGTAGTGCATGTTGCCTGGCCGGATAGCACACTAACTTTAACATTATGTGAAAATGTTGTATACCCTAGCAACCATTTAGCCACATCCTGCAAAACAATCATCAATCACATTGCAACAACATAAAGATACCATAACAACCTACACAAACAGTGATAAAGTAAAAAGCACCATAACACCCTTGCAGCCCCATAATGTAGCAACCACCAAGCAATACACTGACAACCACTTAGCAAAACACTAGTAAAACCATACTCCATGCTAGTATTGCTCTGGCAGGGAGCATACTTACATTTTTGAACATTTTTACAACTTTCTTTTTTTTTTTAGTTCACACGCTGAGGGAAATTGCTTTTCCATGCCACAGCCAGCTATCCTGCCTGACTGTCTCCCAGTCATTAAGGCCTTCTAGTGATAAGCAGCTTCTTTCAATCACTGAGCCCAGCGTGTGTTCCTGTGCCAGGGCAGCGTGATTGAAATATTTTCTGTGCCTTTGAGGTTAATAGAGTTAATGAAGATCCAAGTCTCATGTCTGGGCAGGATAATTAGTATTCTGTCAGAATAAAAACTCACTATGAATAACTGAACTATGACTCTGTCTGTCTATATGGACAAGTAAAACAGTTTTCAACAAGTGTGCCCAGGCGGTGAGCTAAGACGTACCTAGAGATTTTGTTCAAATGTTACGAATAACCATGTCTAACAAAGTATTTCAAAGACAAAGTAATCAAAAGCAAGTTCTGTGAACTCATTGAAGTTTTTCTATTAACATCTATCAGTTGTTAATGTCTAGAAGGTGTGCTTTTTAGCTTTCTTTATTATATTATTTTTTATGGAATTCCATAGCAATTTGCAGTTAACTTAGAAATGTATAAAAATTGCTTCAGGATCAGGAAGTTTTGGGGAATAGTAATTTAGTTTTCTTTCTTTTTGATCATATGAATTTCTTGTGATTGGTTTTTGAGCCCTAAAGTGAATCCATTTAACACTAACCCATCTCAACATTCTCACGATCTACAATTACTTGATATATTGTAATAGATACATATCCTCAGTAGCCAGTTTATTGGGTACACTTACCTAAAAAGAATACAGTCTAATACACCAGCCCAGCAATACAGCCTTGCTTCATTGTTCAGTTCTTGTTGAAACTCTTTAGAGAGACGAGGCTGCTATTTGTGGTGCTGTTGAATCATATTGCGTTATAGCCTACTGACAGCTGTTCAGATTATTTTGGCCACCTCATTTATATCAGTGAGACTGGGCTACATAACAGAAACACTTCTCCATATGATGCAACACAGTTCAACAGCACCACATACTAAACTACTGAGTGTATAGATTGGTCATTCGAGTACACAGAGTAAAATTATCTCAGTATCCCTTAAATTTGAAGAAACAAAATCCAAATTCGAAGGCTATGCCAAATATCTATCTCCCAAAAGTTTGATTTAATCCTTAATCCAAGAAAGTTCTTTCATGCCACATTCTGCCTCACTTTTAATCATCTCTTCTTAACTCTCTGAGTACCTTTCATCTCTCCTCAAGATATCCTGTTAAGTTGTGCTTTAGAACATGAAAAGAGGAAAGGTGAAGAATTTCAAAGCCCTGACAAGGATACTGACAATAACATCAAAGTGAAGAGAAATTATACCACAGCAAATGACAGGAGAGCTAAGGCTGGGACTCCAAGGAAGATGGTCAAGAAGACAGGAAGCAAGAAACTTTCCACGAGAACAAGAAGTAACGTCAGATGTACCAGACTGGGAGGCATCTGCCAGTCCAACCGATACATCTGCCAAGGCCGATACCTAAAAGACAAGTGTTCGGGGCCCAAGACGCAGCAGTGTTGTATGCCAGGTATAGTAACACATGTGCAAATATTACACAGGCTGACTCAAGGTGAGAATATTCCAGCACTACTTCAGACAGTCACACAAACACACTACTTTTGACAAGCAGGGATTAAAAGGATTGTGTACTGCTCTTTTCTGTCTGAGTCATGAAAATATGTTATCATGGGCGAGAGACTGTATTAATGTCTGACACACCGCTAATATAAAAAATCATCAATACATGACATTTGAATAGTGTCTATCAGCTGTAATTGGCCTTATTTTCACATGAATGGAATATGAGGTGACTAACACTCTGTGGATGTTATAAAACATTTTTTTTTAATATATTTTGGCCTTTTGGAATGCAACACAACAGCCTTTAAATATGATGTTTTTTTGAAACAAACACTTTTTATTTATTTTTTTTCCCTCCCTATTTTTATCTCTGTAGTTGGAGCCTGGAGTATCCTTTGTGCCGGTCACCACAACAACAGAGTGAGGGCGTGTGACGTGCATGGCTGTGGAGCTTTCAACTCTAGAAGGTGATTTTGTCGTGTTTGTTTTAGTCTTAAACCTTAAGATTACTTGTGCAGCAACAGGACATGATTGCTATGGGTGGAGCTCTGGGCAGACGAGTAGGTATCCACAGCTAGACATTTTTGAAATATGACTCTGAAACAGGCCTTTTGAGATTGCTGTCTAATTCACATCTTTTCTGGTTCTTCTCTTACAGAGGTAATGACCTACATAAAGCAGTGGACCTGGTGTGTGATGACTATGGTATTGTCAACACTCCATTCTCAGGCTCTCTGGCGGGTCCAGTGAGTCGGAAAGACCCCGCTGGGAATCAGTATGATGGGGTGAAACTTCTCAGTGATGGTAAGGAGCAAAATATGTCGATACAGTACTTGAAAGTGAGTGCAGCGAGGGAAAGAAACTTCTGAAGATTATTCATCTGTATTTGAAATTATAGCTTGTGAAAATGCTACAGTGTCAACAGTGACACTGAAACCAATGTTAAAGTCAATACTTTTGTGTGCTTCTATCTACTAAATAAAAGGATAGTAAACAGTTAATTTTCATTTTATGGTGACTGTATTATATATCAAGACTACAGCCATGCTTGCAGAGCTTGATAAAAAGTCAGGGGATCGCCAAATTTCATGAAGACTATGAATGTCTGCAACACATTGGATGGTAATCCATCCAACAGTTGTCAAGGCACTTCACTGAACCACAAATGTCAATCTGCTGCTGCTAGACAAAAATCGCCACAGGCAGTAAAATGTATTGAACTGGGAAGCATAATGTTTGTACCAAAATTTGTGTCAGTTCATGTGGTATATGTAGAGATATTTCACTAAATAAGCTTAACGGTGAAATGTTTGATCTGCTGGTGTTGCTAAACAAAAGTCAGGGAATAACCAAAGTCATTCGGATTCATCCTCTGGGCACCATGCATATCTGTTTCAAATTTCATGGCAATCTATCCAGTGGTATATTTCAGTCAGGTCAGGGTGGTGGACCAACCGACTGACCGACATTGCCATCCTTAGAGAAACGATAATAGCTTGGCTAAAAATCCCCTCTCTTTTCTGGAAATTACATGTAAAGGTCATACTGATATTTGAACTATTCAACTGCCTGGTAACCTTGTGCTATTATATCTGCAAATAAATTCCTAATCTCGTATGGGTCCATGGTTAGGCCACAGGCGATGTTAGGTTATTACGGTGTGGGTGTTAGGTGGGGATGAAAAGAAGGAGTGATTTAGAGGGATTAGTCAAGGTGTAGGATAGAGGGGCTGAGACTCCATTGAACTCTTGGTTGCCTTTAACACCAGGACCCAGCTGCATGTGAAACCCCATCAAAGGCTGTTCATGAGTAATGACCCCCAGTAAGGGCCATCATTACAGAACAAAGCAATGCATCAGCGTTTGTGTGTTTATCTCGGTGGAGCTTGGCAGAAGAGTGCACGCATGCCTTTGCGATGTGCATTATATTTGTGTCTGTATACATGCTTGTGAGTGTATTTTGAGAGCAACCTGAGTTGATAAGGCACTGGAGTGATGAGTAAACATCATTAGTCCTCATTCTGCCTCTACCCCTAATTGAACTGTATTATCAGAAGAACACATGTCCTGTCAGCTCCTTTCATCTCAGGGTAAAGCACAGACATGATTAGACATCACAGAGACACATTACCTCGCCATGATACCCACATTAATGCTGAGACACTCATCATTAGGAGCTCGTAGGATTTAATGATGGTGTTGACTTGTAGACTAGCCTACTTCTGGGTTGTTTGTTTCTAAGTTGGCAGCTTGTTTATTGTCTACAGAAAGGTGAAGGGGAGATGGTAAGACAGTTGTTATCTAGGGCCTTGAACCTATGTCGATCCATTTGGAATGATAAACGATAAATTATAAGACTGTTATCTTCACATTTCCTATTTGTTGCCTGCTATACATGTGTGCATTGTGCATTCAGATTTATGGATTTTGCTTGTATTTTTTCAATCAATGATTAGCCATTTGTTCCTATTTACACATTCATTCACCTATGGAGTAGAAACAGCTTCATACTGAAATGTAATGTCGTAAAATATGAATAATTTCTCACAAATGTACCTGAAGAACATAAAGTGCAATAGAACATTTTGACTTTACTGGTATAAATTAGCCTCAACTTCCCAAAGTACTCACTCAATAAGCTGAGTTGAGTCACTGCTGGCATTAGCACCATCTCTTTCTATTGAAAAAATGTAACTGATATCCCCTTATTATTGAAGAAGAAGCTATTCACATAAAACAAACTCTTTAACAGGTCCAAGAAGGAAATAACAGGACATCAATGTCCCCAAAACCCACCATTTTTGTTTCTTTCACATGCAGTGCACTGTGTGAAGATCTTCAACATCCGTCCTTATCGTTACATCGGGCCGGTAACTCAGGGAGAAGTCTTGGGTTATCTGTTACCACTGCAGGAACGCTTCTCTGGCATCACATCACACCTGGAGCTGCAAATGTGTGACGGCACTGACCCTTCACCTTTCATATGATCTCTAACCTCTCACCCCTTAAACAGTGTCTGAGTCTTTACCGTATGACCTCTCCTCACTCAAATTAACCTTGACCCTTCACTTTTAGTATGACTTCTGACTTTCATCTAACAGTCCCAAAGATTCATCCTCAATTGCATTACAAAACTTTGGTCTCTCTGATGACAGAATTTCAAAACCAACCCCCCCACCCCCAATGACAGCCATTTAAGTACATCGTTTTTAGCTCAAGATGGCCAGCTTTTGTGTGACTGATGATCCTTTGTCTCAGTTCCTCCAATTTTTAGCCCTTTTGTATATTTTTGTACTATCATTATTATCCTTTTTTTCCACTGAATGTCATGTTCTTTTATAAAGTTAAATGGAAAAACTGAATATTTCTAACACTTATGACTCTTTTCTTCTTCTACTTTCTTAGGAAAATATTCCATCCCCCAACGAGGACTCATATGACCCCTTTTATGTAATCTCTTTATATTTGAATGATGTAATAGATTCATACTTTCATTTCTGCTTTTGATGTAAGTGGTTTTTCCCATACCCCAGTTAGAAGTAAAATGTACAGTGTGACAAGTTTAAATTGGAGAGTCACATATTTTCATTACTTTTCATAAAGCATGGATTGCTTAATTTCCTCAATACTTACTCTAAATTATAACTTGTTGTGACAATTCTGACTTCATATTGTAGTTGTCAATTTCTATTAATGAACTGAATTATTAAAGCAAGGCATGTGTCTTCTCAGATAGGGGACAACTGCCACATATACAGTGTTAATGTAATGAGTAAAACACACCAAAAGATGGAGCTGTCTTGCAACAGAATTTAGAGTTAGAGCCATAGACTGTATAATTAAAAATCTCAAGCTTGATCATGAGTCTCTGTAATAAGTATCAATTTGCAATGTGTTCGATTCACTTATAAAATAATTACAATTAAAATCTAAAACAAAAATCACTGCATAACATTGTGATATTAATATGGAGAAAGCAATGATAACTTTATGCTTACAAAGCATTTTTCTGAAGCAGAATTAGCACATTTCCAGTTATCTCATGACTAAGAAATATTAACCACATCAGGGTTATCATGTGATGCAGTCTCAGTGACTCAAGCTCAACAGTTCCAAGTCTGATGTTTTCCACCATAAATCATATTGATCCTATCGCTGTCCATGTGCATAAGCAACAGTGCAACCACTGGTGATCAAGTTACAAAATGATCCATTTGGCATAATTCATTTTTGAAACCGACAACAAAATAGACCAGGTCAATTGAACCTGCTTTCCCAAATTCATACACTTTTATATGTCGAGTCAAGTCAGTTGTATTTAACCTACATAGCACAAAATCACAAATGTGCCTCAAAGGGCTTTAACAATACAATCTGTATGCGGTAGAGGTGAAACCAACCAAGGGTACTTGTACTTGTACTTCTGCAGTTGCCAGGGGGTTTGTGGATTGTGAAGAGCTCAGCTAATTTGAAATCACAAATGTTAGGATTAAAGTGGCAATATACTGTCAGCAATAGCACCTGAACACCACAGGTACGAGTCCATAAACCAGCATAACTATTAGCAACATAGCAGAAAAGATTATTTTAATTTAATGTATTAATGAATAAATGGTTTATGTAATCAGCCAGCTATATAAGGGATACATGGTTGAAATGTCCAGTTTCTGCCTCTCCATGGTTAGTGCACACATGTATATCAAATAGTTGATTAATATCCAGTTTCTCACATTCAAATGAACACATTTAAAACATTAAAGGTGGTGTGATGAAGTTCACCTGAACACCACAGGTACGAGTGCATGAACTAGCATAGCTATTAGCAACCTAGCAAAAACGTTGAATCTAATTTAATATAATATTATTCATGAATAAATGGTTTATGTAATCAACCAGCTATATTAAGGATACATGATTGAAATAGACAGCAAAAAAGTAACATTTAAGTTGTTGAAATGATTAACAAGCTAGCTAAATTGATTGCCAAATGGTTAAAACAGTCAGCTAGAGCGTTAAAACCTGATGCATAAATGGTTGAAATAGTTTGTATAATGTCATATAAGGTTGAAATAGCTAAAACTATATGGCTAAATGGTTAGCTTGGTTAGCTAAAAGTAATAGATAAATGGTTGAAATGTCCAGTTTCTGCCACTGTATGGTTAGTTGTACAACAACAGACTTGTTTATCAAATGAAATGTGTATCAAATAGTTGACAATATCCAGTTTTTCACATTCAAATGAACACATTTGAAACATTAAAGGTGGTCGGATGAAGTTCACCTAACAGGGCTTAGGTTTCAGTAAATGAAAATGAAAACAAAGTTGTTGTACTCTTAAATAATGCAATACATGTTTTGTACAGAGCAGACATAAACACCAATAGTACAATTAGGTTACAGTACAGAGAGATGATGGTATAAAGTAAGAAGAGTGCCATCATAAATTAAATATATCTGCTTAAGTGCACTTGGGCTTGATGCTGCGTTTGAGTGCAGCCTCACTGTTCAGTAATTGTCCACTCTCCTTTTCTAATATGTGCATTTTGTGGATTATTGCAATTAAACGTTGTTACATGTGAAACATTCACACTTAAGTAACGTTAATACAGCTTTAAATGCAGGAATTGAACCCGTGGCTAGTGATCCCTCTGCCTGTGGTTTGTTCTGACGCTGGAGGGGTTGGTCCATGGAGCATAATGAAGCGTCCCAGTTGCTCAAATGGGAGTGGGCGAGCTGGGATAGGCTGGGAGTTTGGTTGGAGCCGTGAGCCGGGACGGGACTAGGCACAAGAAAAACCGACCGATTATTAACTCCTGGCTCCTTCCGCAGTTGAATGTTGGACAGGAAATTTGACGTTGACGGAAAATAGCATTTGTTGCATTCAGGGGTTCACGGATCCGAGCGGCGCGGATGACAAAGAAGCGTCGCCGTGCAAACTTTTCTCAAACGGGTGTGTGATCGCTCGTTAGAAAAAAAAAAAAAACCCAACCGGGAATTCTGTTTTTCTTTCTAACGGAGGCGTCAAAGGAAGAAGAAGAAAGAAGGACATCATGCCACGGCGCACCGTACAAGAAGTAACAGTGCAAGATGTCCAGAAGCGGAGAAATCCGAACAAACACTACGTAAGCCTCAGTTCATTGTCACAACAACAGGGCTTTTGCTGGTTAAAGTGAGCAACAAGATCGAGGTTGTCTTTTGAAGTTCTTCTCCTTCTGCCTTTCCTGTCGGGTAAAGTAAAAACAAAGAGAGTGTCAAATTACAGTTTACCAGGCGAGCCGAAATGGACAGTTAGACCTAGTCACTCTGATTTTATTATTAGGACTGCTAGCACCACAGATAACGTAGAAAACTGATTTATTAGATCCCCAACAACCCATACGGGGAGAAAAGACAATAAACAACAAAGTTTGAGAGCCGTAAAGAGTTAACTTAAACTAGACTACAGTCTGCTTTTAGGCTTTTTCTGATTGACATGTATCTTACTGTTGAACCAGACTGTAGGAAATAATGTTGGATTCATCAGTTTTTTTTTTTTTGCTTTTCAGAGATTTAAGCCACAACTTCTGTCTTACTTCTTAGAGAGCTCACTGTTGTTGTTATGGGAAGCCTTAAGAGGCATTCAAATGAATCCGGCTCATAGGACTCTCCTTGACTCTGCATACTTTCAAGTCAGCAACTCAGTATAACATGTAGGCCTACACGATCATAGACATTGTACTGTCACTACCAAATCTCCTCCAGTGCTTCTTCTATACCTGCTGCCACGTGTGTGTGCGCAATCATAGAGCAAGGTCCCAGTAAACATCTTTAGTAGGCAAATCAATCAAGTCCACAAACCATCCAGACTAATCCCCGTGAGGATATAGAGTTCAAATTGAGCATCCCAGCTTTGTCATGCTTCAGGCTCTCCAAATTACTCAGAGAAATATACCTACAGGCACTGGCAACCAGGAACTAACAGGGTTTCTGAGGTCATCACAGCGAACACAGGGCAATGTTTGAACAAGGGAAGGGCCAAAACATTACATACCACGCCATGTGGCATTTGTAGTTTTATGACTTTAGTGTTGTAGTAAAGTAGATTGTACAGTTTTAGGGCTTTACTGTCATGCTAAATTGACTATTATTTGTACATCATTGCTCTAGTTCTGCAGCGTTTATTTAAGGGAGACATTAAAAGTGATAATGTCCTGATGTCAGGTGATAATGCTGTCATTATCTCACTAACAGTGTCTCTCTATTGCCATGCAGTATCTTTGCCAATTTGTTTCCAATCCCATCGCTGTGTGGGGGGAAGATAAATGTGGGGAGAGGAGAAGAATCAGTGTGTGGATTTTTTTCATGTTTCAGCTACTGGAACTCGAAAGTGTGGGAGACGAGAATGTCAAAAGAAGACAAAGACCTATTGCTCGCTTTTCTGCAATTCATAAACAATGGCGCTTTCATCCGTCTTGTCTGAGAGTGAGTAGTGCGTGGTTATATGTGGGTGAATTTGTCTGCAAAAGTGCAGTCAGTGTAAAGTAACACATATGACATCACAGTGAAAGCCACTGCCAAAGGCCTTAGCAGGTGTTAGTGTTAGGTCCGTGTACATGGTGTGTGCCCGTGTGTGCACTTGTATGCATAATGTTGGTTTGCATGCATGTATGTGTGAAAATGACGCCTGGGTTGAGGGACCAACAGACCTTATACCGCTGTGAGTGTTAGTGGTCAAGGACACAGAGTTCTTGAGGTCCTGTGTCTTCTCCATCTGTCTGTTTGCTCTCTGGTGCAGCCCATGTTGATTTGTACTCTCTTTGTACATGCAGGCTGGACACCTTTAAATCTCCCACAACCCTAGAGGTTTGGTTGAGAGTACGAAAAAGCAGTTTATCTCTTCTGCTCATCAGAGTTGTGTGTGTCATGTCAAAGGGAAAAAAGAGACTTCCTAAGAGACTTGCATAAATACGAGCATTTTATTGCCAGTATCAGTGTTTCATTGACCAGAGAAGCTTTTATAGCTAAAGTGATGTCTTTTTATGTCCTCTTCTTCCTCAGAAAGATGGCTTTATCCTCAATTGCCGTTGTAGATGTTGTACTAGTTTTAAAGAGCTTATTTGCACACATTGTAGCAAGGGGAAAGAAAACAAATCATAAACATTTTGCATACAATAATTCTCCCTCTTAGTTGTTGAGAATTTAGAAAATAGTAGTGGGCCACAGACAATACCCTGAAAATAGTGCCCATTGTGGTTCCTGTAGTTGGTCCATCTATGGCCATATCTGACTCTAGTGCCCTGAAAGAGACAGCGAGGCCAGAGAAGGTCTGGGAGTGGGGCCAACAATATTCAGCCAGACACAGCGAGCCACCAGGGAGTTTCCAATCACCTCCCTGCCTCTCCTCTCTTCTTCTTCTTTAGAGAACAACATAAAGAACTGTGTCGCTTGACTGCAGTGATTAGGTTAGATGCTCTTGGTTACACGTTTTATGATGTTGATATGAGGCAGATGGAATATTCAGGTGTCCATGTACAACAAGTAAAGTTTTAACTTAATTTAGTGCCACAAATGATACAAAGGTAACAGTTTATTTCTGTATTGTAATGATGTTTGTAGCCCCCCAAAATGTTATGTTTCCACGACTACCTGCCCCGAAAATGTCTCTCAAAGAGCTGCAGTTTTGAAAAGACAGCACAGTCAAATCTGCTGCATTCATACATCACAATGACTCCCTTTCCTCCTAAGCAGGAAGTGATGCAAATGGACTGGGAAAATGAAATAATGGGATATCCCTATTGCGTTCATGTGAACGGATGATGACACTGACCACTGCATGATGTTGCCTGACAAGCGTGCTGTCCGTCTTTCCTCATGCTACCCTCTATAGGAGTCACAGCGCTGCCAATTACTGGCACTATGAGTCAGGAGTAATGCTCCAGGGGGTTTGGATCATCAAGTGGCTGACAATAATGACTGTTTGTAAGTTTAAATGATTCCAGTTATGTTTGTTGTTTGCTTTTCCAGGTTTACATCATCAAAGTGTCCTGGAGCGATGGCAGTACAGAAATCATTTACAGACGCTACAGCAAGTTCTTCGACCTGCAGGTGAGCAAGTGTGTGACTGTGTGTTTGTGTGTCTTGGTATGTGATTGTCTTTTTATTTTGTAGTTGTGTGTGCAGTTGCATGTTGTAGGGGGCAAGGAATGAGACAAGTTATAACCTTTACACAAGCAAAGACTAGCATAGGTCATGAAGTGAATGAAATGGAAGTACTCTCTCCACATAGCACATTCCCCCTGTGGATTGTGCTTGTAGTCGAGCTCTCCCTGCTCCACCCATATGACACTGGTAATTATATTGTGCGAGAGGAGTCGGAAAATGTCCCAATGAAGTTAATAGAGGACAGTGATGAACGCGACGACCGCACTGATGACCACAGAAATGTCTGAATCATTCTCGATCGTCACGCTTGCAGTGTGTGTTGCACAGGGAGGGAATCTCATTAGTATCCTAGTTTCCTTTCCTCTTTCGAAGGTAATGGATCTGGGGCCCTGGCCACATCTGAGCTTAGAGAGCATGGACTCCAGGAAACCCAGAAAGGCAACCGCTTTTAATGAGCCCGTAGTCGATTTAGCTGAAGCATACTGTCATCCCTAATTGGATTAAATTCCTTTTAATTGATTAGGATGGTCGACGCATGAGCAATGAAATAAAGCATTATAATGCCCCACCAAGGTTTTCCTGAGCATGCAAATGCAATGCAAGCCAAACAAATGTAAACTATTTCATTACTAATTTCATTAGTTTGACTTAAACCTACAAAAGCTGCCAACAGTCTTGCTCATACATCAGCTCGTATCACACTCAAAATTGTTTGTCTGATCTTTACTGATAACATTTACATGGATATTAATTCATCTGTGCCCTCTCTTGAACTATTGTCAATCAGCCAGAAGAACAGCAACAACAATTTAAGAACTTGTCTCCTCCAACACAAGAACAGACCCCAACCCTCTTTATCATTAATTAGTGTGGTCTGTATTGACACAAATAATAAAGTTTTCATTAAAGAGACAAGAAAGATGGCTATAATATAAATATGAAGCGTACTAGGAGACATGTCTGGGTTTTATTTGTGTGCCTGTTTGTGTGGATTAATTACTGTATGACCAGTTACAGTTTATTAACTGGAATTTATGCTGAATAGTTGGTTGAACATTTTTATTAGCTTCTGAAAATGTTACATATATATAATTCAGACTATTTATGTTTGGAAAAAATTGCAAACCATAAATTTGGTTTCATTATTCAGCCGTAGCACCGCTTTGCTTCAGAATGGCATGCAGCATGGCAGTAAACTTTACAAACAGACTCTCAAAATGACCATAAACCACAAAACTAACTGCAATGGAAGCAAAGAAGAGTGGCTGCCCCGTTGCTGACTGTCAGTGAAGTCGGCTAAACCTGTTTTGATCCGGATGGTGGTACAACTCCTCTACTGCCGTCCACTGTGATTGACTCTTCGGCAGCCCAGCAGAGAGACGAGAGAAGATTTTCTTAACACGAGTATGAGCAGGACACAGGCATTAAAACATGACGTAGGCTAAAACATTAGACTCATGTAGCTGTGTTTCCACTGCAGGAACTGCTGGTATAGGAGTTTAGTGTGGCACTGACATTCTGACTCGGGTACAGCCCCAGACTGTACATGTTGTCATTTGTGTGCTAGGAAGTACAGAATCTGTCTTGTTGCCTCTTTGAAAACATTTATAAATATTCATAAAACACATGTTAACTGCCACTGATCATTTTCAACAATATCATTCCACACTATCAGCCAAAATCCATACATACAGCATATTACCAGCATATATTTCTAGTTACATCCTGAAGGACCTAGTATCGGATCAATGGCATTGACTCAGATGGGCATGTGTGAGATATTTTCAGCAGGGGCATTCCCCGCTGGTGTTTACCCCTGCCACGGCATTCAGCTGCTTCCTGCTGTGTTGACAGCCTGTGGGTGGGCTCTCACTGGTGAGGGAGATGTAGATAAACCCAGCTGGAGAGATTACAAGCCAATCTCTTATCTCCTGTTAGGTTTGGCATTGACACATTATAAGCCACCTCCGAGCTGTGGTATTTCTGACAGAAAAGTGGCAAGTTGGAGCACTCAAAATCTCAACAGCTCCACCTTGATAAAGGGACTATACGTGTTTCATGAGTCAGCAGTTTGGAATCTTTTTAAAAGGTTATTTTATCATTTTGACCGGTTTCACTTTTGGCTATGATGAGGAATAAGGCAATGTTTTGACATCATCACACGTCATCCCAAGTGCCCGGCAAGGATGGTGACATAGAGCTGAGTCAGTCATTTCTTCATTTCCTGTCATCCTCCTTTTGCTTATTTTTCATCTTATCCTGCCCTTTTCCCGTCTGCTCTGGTCATGTCTCATTCTGTGCCATGATACTGTTTTATTGTTGTGTGATTTAAGAGGGGTTTATATAAACAGACAAAAAACGGAAAGAAAATGACACATGAAGTGTCTCTGGTCACTCCAAAGCTTCAGAGCCAGACAGGAAGTGCTATTCATCACATCCTGTCAACACAGCTGGCCCAAGCAGTGAATGCCTTAGTTCAACCAAGGCATGTGCTTTTGTGTGTGACCCGTCACCACAGACTGTGTTTATTCACTCAGTCTGACTTCAGTATGAAATAAACATTTATTGAGGGAATCTGTATTCTTCCAGTCTTGCTTGGTTGTCCACATACACATATTTTGTATTTAAATGACGCATTATCAGTTATGTTTCTTTTATTTAATCCAGACCAGACTGTGTTTAGCAGACGGTGATCCTGATTACAAGGAAAAAAACATAGTCTTAATACTAATTTGCATTTCTTGACCGTTTTTAAAAGTAGTTCTGTTGAACTAACTCGCTCAGTAATGATTCTTCTGCAAGATTAAAGTATTTATCTATTAATAGATGTGTAAAAAGGAAAAGTATACAACACACTCACATTATACAATACAGAGTCTGCTTTGTGATCATGCTGATCATTGCTCCACATTCTCTATAATACCTTCCATGTCTGACAGCATTCACTTCCTGAGAATACTTGACCAGGAACCAGATGTTCTTCTCACACAATTTACAGTATGTCTGCTACTTCTCACCCACCTTTTTCCTGCAGCACCCAAACCAGAATTTCTATGTAGCTGCTTCCCCTAAATAGCATCAGGGAGTTTAGTATCCATTTCTGCATACTGGACTCCTAACCCTAACCCTAACCCAGGACTCTAGGGTGAGACAGAATTATTGCCTGCACTTATGCATAAATGTATGTAATGCAAAGTATGTTTACTTTTGCAAGCTGTTGAATACTGGGAGAATGAATTAAGCAACTAGCATTTTAACATAAAACCTGTGGGATATTTTTCCCCCTCTGTTCCAGTGTGTTAAATTGTGAACAAAAATAGACATGTTGCTTCAGACAGACGGAAAGTGCAGAGATTTTGTGCCATGGGGTCATCCTAGCGGCTTTGCAATTTTATTTCCATGTCACTAAGAACAGTTTCCATGCTGCACACGTATCGACTCAACTTCCCAAGCCTAGTCTTCCAGCATTCCCAGTCTTTATGGATACAGGATACACTCTTACTTTAAAGCTGTAGGAAAAAATCCAGTACACCGCTACTTGACTTCACAGAGTTGCACAGCTGTCACATATTTTCCATCTGCAGTAATCAAATGACAAAACTTTTTGAAGAGGGCCAGTTTATTTTGTTTAAGCAATGGGTGTTTTTCACCAAGCAAGCTACTGATATGGTCATTTCCTTCTTTTGCACAGTAACTTTACATTTTCAGAATAAAGTATGCTGTATGTATCCTTAAGTAGTGCCGTTTGTTCCTGGAACAATAACCCAAATCATGTGTTTTTTATTCAGGGAATATTGAAAAATAGGTAGACTTTAGTAAAGTCCTGTTATCCGTGTTAGGGATTTAGTTGTTGGGGACTGAATATTGTGAAAAAAAACAATGGCGGTGTAAGTGAAATGATTCATCAGAAAATATTTAATCCACTCAAATTGTCTTTGATAGATGAAGATGAACTATTGCTGATAATGAAGCTATACATCACCATGAAACTCTTTCTTTCAACTTTCTTATTCTTATGTGTCTTATGCTTCTGACTACTGTTGATGGCAGTGGTTTCTAAGTAGCATGGCCCAGACTCACAGAAAGCCAAGTGTGAAGTGGAAGCTCTGTTTTGTTTTTTCACCCTCTGGCTCCTTAACCATTTGCTGTCATTCAGCTATTTTGAGTGGGATTGGCCAGAATGATTTGCAGTTTTATGTCAAATGACTTGATTGGTATTAGTCATGTTTTAGGAAAATGGCTTATTGTTGTTGGCTGCTTGAGAGATGACAGGCACAAATGAGCCCACTTGCTATTCCCATCACATGCATGTCTCTACTTTAAGTGGCAAGAAATGGATTGAGGATTCTTCGGCTGGAGCTATGAAATACCATAAAAATTGAGATTGAGCAGTTGTGTTTTACATCTTGTGATTGACTTGTGACCTGTCCTGGGTGGACCCAGAGAGACAAGGAGTGCAGAATCACAGTATGGGATAAAACTCACATTTTTTTTTTAATGTGCGTAACTCAGGGACCCAAGTCGGGGACCCATATTTGATAAGTTCTAGTCTTAGGGGATCCCTGTCTGATTAAAATGTAGCTAATCCATAACTGGCTATACTCTAGATTTGCAGATTTTACTTTTTTTATTCTACTTAAGTTAACCCACCATTTAATTCCAGAGCCGCAGTCCATGGATGATTTCTTTGTTCTCACTATAAGTGGACTAACAGCTCAGCCTTCCATAAATGAGGGGTGTTTCCAGAACAGTATGGTTGTCTGCAAAGGGTTAGAAATGACCTCAAGTATGAATGTATGGTGGACTGAGTCAAAGAATCTGAGGTCTACCGAGATAGGCATGTTGTAAAGAGAGCAGCTATTGTTCTCTGGCCTTTTATACTCTCATTCAAGAGAGCCTTGGGCGTCTCAGATCATCTTTATTTGAAGGTTGATGATGTGGTT